ATATATATATATATGGAAGCAGATGGATCCAGCAAAAATAGAAAAATAGAAAAAGTGTGTTTCTGTCATCTAGAATAAAAGGAAAAAAAAAGAAAAAAAGCCCAGTTCCATCTACGAACAATCACAAAGTAAGACCTGTGAGCTCAAAAATCGCCTTAACTAATGGACACTCTTGCAACGCAGTGCATTTTTTGTAACTTGAAAGCTATATCCTAAAGCAAGCTAAAGTCCTTATAACGTATGTACAGTACAATGTGCAAAATATGTCTCTTAAGGATCAATCTTACACCGAACAGTTTATGTAAATCTTCCTCTTTCTTCTTTTTTTTATTATGATGATATTATGACCATCAATTTTTTTATTTATTTTAATTTTTTATTTTATTTAATTTTTTTCAGTTTTCTTCATTTCTCATTCTCTTTAATGGCTTACGTTATTCTCCTTGGTGAGAAAATAGCAGTCTGTCTTGTCGCAGTGAGAAATGGCTAATTTCTATGTCGATTTTATGGTAACTATTTGTACAATTTTAAAAGTTCTTATTTTAGTATACATACAAATATCAGTATTTCAACATGTAAGGAAAATATTACAGCATCACACTTATATTTTATGAACATTGTACTGTTGCTTTATTATGTGCTTCAATCTAAGAAGCAAAAACTTTGAAATAAATGCTTTTTTTATAAAAATGATCAATGGCGGTAAGAAATTTGTGTGAACACAATGTATCAGCGCTTTGCACAACGTGCAACCACTGTAACACAACTCATGACGGAAACACAAAGGTTGAATACGAATGCTGTGCAGTACATGAATTGCATTTACACTCACAGAGACATGCAGAGCTTTTCACCGGCCACTTCTTTGCTTTCCAGTGGTAGGTCTCCATTGTCTCCCAGCAGAGAGGCTGGCATTATTTCCTTTCCCAGGGTAGCCGCACACTGAAAGGTCAATGTGCACAGTTGAAAAAAAAAGAAAAGAAAAATAGTCTTACATAAAACCGAACTTCAGCCACCTGAATGAGATTGGACACCAATTGCCCTGAAGGGGCTTGGGAATAAACAGATGAGCACTGCTGCAGGCTCTTCTCGCCCATGCAGGAAGACTACATTTGCCATAATCGTGTATGAAGTGAAGCACAGGAAATAGCCTCTGATGACAAACCGTTTCTTGTGGAACCGTAGCCCTTTGCTATTCTCCATGGAATCATGGGTGTCCTTAACAAGCAGCTAAAATGCATTCCCTTTAAAAATACTGGTTTTGGTTTATTCCACCAGTGTTATTGTCAGAAAGGATATGGCTATCTGTGCTTCTGAGTAGGAAAAATTGTCACTCTGCATGAGTTTTTCTTGTCATGTCTCTAGACGTGTTCTGTCAAAGAACTACGTGCGAGTCATCGGAGGCACACTAGCAGCGGGTGGCATCCGCTTGTTAGCTGAGTAGTGATTTTGAACCAGTGGTCTACAGATACATGCCAATCGCAATCGCCAGATTTCCACCAACACGGCTGATTGTTTACTGTTTCTGAAAAATGCCCTGTGTGGATTGTATAAAATTTAGTTTGAAACGTAATGGTCATATTGAGTACAACAGCTGGGTTCCGGAATTAAAAATGCATGTCAATCAATGCTATATGCTTTTGTTGAAGGCATCAGTTTGCTTTATTTCAACTTAGGTTTTAAATGATCATGTTTAACAGTGAAATCTCTGGTGAAAAACTGCATTACACATGATACTGTAAAGAATCCCACCAATCGAGAGATTCAACTCAACTCAACTCAACTCAAACTTTATTTATAAAGCACTTTCAACACCACGACTGGAACCAAAGTGCTGTACAGAAAAAGATAAGGGGGAAAAAAAATAAGAATAATATAAAAACAAATGAAAAATAATAATAGTAAAATAAAATACAAAATAAAAATACATAAATAATAATAGTAACAACAAATATCATACACAGCTAAAAAACATTGTCAAAAGCTAGAGAAAACAAATGAGTTTTAAGCGAACTCTGAAAAACACCCAAAGTTGGAGAAGTTCTAATAGACAGAGGAAGGGCATTCCAGAGCCAAGGAGCTGCCACAGAGAAAGCACGATCCCCTCTACATTTTAGATGAGATCGCGGAACCATTAGGAGTAGTTGTTCATTTGAGCGCAGAGATCTGCTGGATTGACGGACACTAATTAAATCAGTAACATAGTCAGGTGATAGACCATGCACATCCTTATAAACACACAGCAACGCTTTGAAATTAATTCTGTATCGTACAGGTAACCAATGCAGTTTGATTAACACAGGAGTAATATGCTCTCTCCCCTTTGTACTTGTTAAAAGTCTGGCAGCTGAGTTCTGGACAAGCTGCAAACGAGAGAGAGAGAGCT